GAAGTCAGGCTTATGTTGCTTTGACACTGGGCCCATTTCCAATGAGTCATAGATCCTTAATTATGGAGCTGCAGTAGAGAAAGGAGTCATTGTTTGGGGCTACAATTGAGACTTCCGGGAATGAGAGGAGGTTTATTATTCAGCTATAAACTTGCTGCATTATTTTAAATGCCAGCCAAGTCTCTTTGTATACTTAATCTAGCCTGTGAAAATAGAAGGCTGCTTAGCTGACCGAAAGATCATTTAACTTGCATGGGCTGAGCATATTACAGAGTTAATACATTTAAACTCCAGGCTGGTTACCGACTACGTTGCTGCTTTATCATCTCTTGCTAGCTGTTCCTTAGAATAGCAATGGGTTAGCTAGCTCATTAAGAGCCTGCATTTCTACCCTGCTGGATGGAAGCATGCCATAATAACAGGTGGCTGCACTGAGAACAGGTGCAGATGGTGCTCTGGAAGGGTATGTAAGACCAGAAGCTTGAGAGCGAGTTTTTGTTACAGACTATGCCTACATCCATATAGAAGAGGAACCTTCTCTCTGATTTGGAATGCTCTGGGGAATGAGAAGAGAAAATAAGTTCTTATCCTCGTGAACAGGAATCTGTATTTAAGGCCAAATTCTGTTGTTGGTTACACTGACACAGCCCCTTTGCACTGTCACTCTTGCATTGGTGGAGGTCAGAATTTGGCCCTTAGGGTACGTCTACCCCGGGGATCAGCGGGAAGCGGCAGCCAGCACATCCCTTGGCCCACACCGTTTTGCAGCCCCCATTGGCCTGGAACAGTGAACCGCGGCCAGTGGGAGCTGCAATCGGCGGAACCTGTGGACGCAGCAGGTAAACAAACCGTCCTGGCCCGCCAGCGGATTTCCCTGATGGGCCACGTGCCAAAGGTTGCCGATCCCTGGTCTACTCTGTGATAAAAGACCCCCGGCACAGCTGAAGCTGGCCTGGATCAGCTGACTCAGGCTCATGCGGTTCAGACTGCACGTATATGAAATTGCAGTGTAGACGTTTGGGCTAAAGCTGGAGCCCAGGCTCTGTGACCCTCTCCCATCACGAGGTCCCAGAGCCCAGGATCCAGCCCAAGCCAGACTGTCAACACTGCAGTTTTATAGCCCCCCAGCCTGAGCCCCACAAACCCAAATAAGCTGACCCGGGCCTGCTGCGGGTCTTTTGTTGCAGTATAGACATGCCCAGTGTGTTCCTGGAGCTAGGGCCTTGGTTCCAGAGTCAGCATATTTGGGTTCTGTTCCACTGACTTGCTCATGTGAACTTGAGCAGGTCTCTTAGCCTCTCTGTTCTTCCATCTCTAAAATTCTTTGTAAAGCTCTTGGAGAGTCACAGATGAAAATCAATGATGAGTGCTAAATGCTATTGTTTATAGTATTTAATCTGCATCTGTACATACAAGGGCAGTGGGGACCGCTTATTTTCCAGGGACTATAAATCTAAGGGATGCATCGAACCCAGGGATTCTTAAAAAAATCAAAATCTGTAGGATTTCCGTGCTAATCAGGTAACTGCTCAGATATGAATTGCAATATGGTATACTTAACAATAGTGAAAAATTGACATAGATTCATAGATATTTAGGTCAGAAGGGACCATTATGATCATCTAGTCTGACCTCCTTCACAGCGCAGGCCACAGAATTTCACCCACCACTCCTGCAAAACACCTCTCACCTATGTCTGTGCTATTGAAGTCCTCAAATCGTGGTTTAAAGACTTCAAGGAGCAGAGAATCCTCCAGCAAGTGACCCGTGCCCCATGCTACAGAGGAAGGCGAAAACCCCCCAGGGCCTCTTCCAATCTGCCCTGGAGGAAAATTCCTTCCCGACCCCAAATATGGCGATCAGCTGAACCCTGAGCATATGGGCAAGATTCATCAGCCAGATACTACAGAAAATTCTTTCCTGGGTAACTCAGATCCCACCCCATCTAATATCCCATCACAGGCCATTGGGCCTATTTACCATGAATATTTAATTACCAGACATACTGTACCTAGCCGTGCTGGTGCTGCTGTTCAGTGATTACTGATGTATGTGGGCTGTAGGATTTGGTTCTTCCTGGGGTAATTAGTTATAAATAATCTTTACAGTCAGTTATTTATGTACATATTTTGTGTGGGTCTGTGTGTGTGTGTGTGTGTGTGTATATATGTGTGTATATACACATATAATATATATGTGGGGGTGTGTGTGTGTATATCTGTAATATGATTTATTGCTTTTTAAATCTCTCTGACAGACTCCAGAGACCAATTTACAAATGCATGTTAAGATTTTCGACTAGGAGACCGGTAACAGTAGGTGCTAATAAATGAAAGAACTGTGATTGAAGTGTTGTGACATGCAGCTTTCAGAGCAACCTGCTGCGTGATGACAGAATCTTCAAACCTAGCTGCAAGTAATCAGCAGGGACAGATACAGCTGTGCTTGTAATTATCTGTTGATATACAGCTTTCTTTTTTCCCCTCTGCATAAATAGTGGAATTGCTTTGCTTGGTGCGGAAGACTTTTATACTTGTTGGGGCCTGTTTATCTGAGCTGACGTGAGAGTGGACCTCGCACTGCGTTTCTGTTTCATTTATGGGTTTTCAGCTGTAATTCTGTAAGCATCAAGTGGAGCTGGCCTTCTTTCAGACGGAAAGAGAGGCATCTGCACGGGTACAAGGCTGACAGCATTGTAGCATCAAGGGGCCTGATTCTGATTTCAGCCATAGCACTGTTATACCAGTGTGACTTTCCATTGATTTCAGTAAAGTTACCCCCCGATTTCCATTGGTGTAACTGAGACTAGGGGCCAGAGGGTATGTCGAAAGCTTGAATCCAGCTAGCACAGAGCAGTGTGGGCTTCAGCGCAGGCTAGCAAGCCAAGTATGTACTCGGGGCCCATGCTGGACACCCGCCCCACCCCCACCGTGCCGAAGCCTGTGCTGCACTGTCTGAAGTGCTGCTTTACCTGCACTCGCTGGGTTCAAGCTAGCTCGGCTGGGCTAGCCCCATGTGCAGCTATTGTTGTGTAGACACATCCTGACTGTACACTGCTTGGAGGTGCAATTTTCACATTGTGGAGATTGCTGATTTGGTGGCTGCTCTGATTTGGTGCCATTTTATACTCCAGACAAGATGGAAGGCAGTAGAGAATCAGGCCCCAGTAGTCGAAGGCAAACACCAAGGTGTCAAAAGCAACCTAAACAAGAACAGAAGAAACTTACTGCAAAGGTCGAAACCAGGCTTTGAATGGAAGGGAGGAACTGGGGGGCCAGGAGGGACAGCTCCCACTATCAAAGTAATATCCATTTCAAAGAGAAAATGGGTTGTTAAATGATCACTTTTCTCGCTGGGGTCAGGGATATGTCCTCAGACGTGATCTGAAACATTTCTTTCATTTTTCAGAGTAGCAGCTGTGTTAGTCTGTATTCGCAAAAAGAAAAGGAGTACTTGTGGCACCTTAGAGACTAACCAATTTATTTGAGCATAAGCTTTCGTGAGCTACAGGGTGTTCTTAAGATTTGGAGACACATTTTCAGTCTTTTGGCTAGCTGTGGATTAAAAGTGCAGTAATGCAGACTCAGACTTCAAATGTTAAAATAATAATGCTAAAAGACACTGCCTTTAAAACAATCAGTAAATCAGTTCCTCTTATATCTTTGTAATTCATTTTGACTCAGTAATAGGGGTTGCGGGGTATGTAATGGTGAAACGTAATCACAGAAGTTAATTCAATGGCTTCCTGTGTGTGACGGAAGCTGCAGAAGGTAGGTGCATCATATACATTTATTTAGTATATCAAAATTCTAAAGTTGGATTTCTTAATTTAAGAACAATTAGGAGAATGCTGCATGCCAAGCAGGTATCATTGTACAAGTCCCAAAACAATTTTAATTTAGAGCTTTTAAATCATCATTAAAATCTCTTTAAATCCTTCTTAAAACCCCCTCTCTTCCATGATCCATATAACGGCCAGCCCAGATCGATATAACGTCACCAGCGTTCCTGTCCACATAAAGGAATCTAAGGGCATGTCTCCACTTAGAACAGCTGCACTTGTGTTGCTCTAGTGCTTCAGTGAAGACGCTACTACGCTGGGAGGAGAGCTCCTCCCATTAATCCACCTCTGCAAGAGGCAGTAGCTATGTCGACGGGAGAAGCTCTCTCACCAACACCGCGCGTCTACACTGGGGGTTAGGCTGGCATAACTCTGTCACTCAGGGGTGTGGGTGTAAGTTTATAGTGTAGATCTGGCCTAAGTGATCACCTTTCTCAGTGCAGTCTTTTCTAGCCCGCTGAAGTCAACCAAATGACTGCCATTCACTGCAGTGGTCTTTGGATCAGGTGTGTAGTTTGTAAATGCCTTGGACCAGGGCCCAGGGTTTTGTGGTTTGTAGCGTTCTGCGTGCACTGTTAGTGCTTGCCGAATCGTAAGTAAAAATTCTTCCATTTTTTCAAGGGCTCTCACGTTTCTCCCATTTTTATGCTTTAATTTTCAATGTCCTTAAAACAAAACAAAAAATGTCATCGTTTTATATACACACCCAGGACAGTTCGTTTATTGCCCATGATTATTTGCCAGGTGTTTGAAAACGGGTGGGGGAGAGAGACTGTACGGGTAAAGAATGGTGAATTAACGTCTTTAGTTGCCCCGCTCGCTACAGGTGGTGGGTTATCTTGACGTGTACTGCTTCACTTAGAATGTATTTTAAAGCTATGTCAAGAGCACCTGGAGTTTATGCATCCTTTTCGGTATTTCTATCATTCTAATAATAATTGGCTACAGATATACAGCGGAGCCCCATCCTGTGTTCCTTAAACAGGCGGCGTTATGGTTGAGACCGTCTAGCCGGCATGAGTAGCATAGGAACTAAAATGTATAGACATCGGGGTTAGATTCTGGTCTCACACCAATGTTGATCTCCAGTAACTTCACTGCATTCAATGGAAATACTCCAGACTTAAATCAGTTTAATGAGAACAGAATTTCTTTCCAGATTAAGAGAGAAGTTTGGCATCTATGGATTCATACCTGAGTGTTTTCTCAGTGTTGCACTTGATGGCTCTAGTTCATTATGGTTCCAAGCAGTGACGGCATTTTAAGGTAAATAATGTGTTTTCTGCTCTGCTTGATACCAAAGGGCTTTTATTACTGCTGCTGATACATGAAAAAGAAAGTTATTAAAAAAAAAAAAAAGTGATGTTAACAAATGGAAGCCCTTGGGGAACTGTTGCCTGGATGGGATTTTGATTGGAGTTCAATTTAATAGGCCGTAAATCTTCCGATTTCTGATTTACATTCTGCTTCAGACTAGCTACCAAATTCATGCTAATCAGTGTTTCATTTTTCCCTATCAAACAAAATTTACAGATATGAGCGTAAACAGGAACATTCCCCCAGTAAGGTGACCTTGCTCTTGCAAGCAATGTACTGGTAATTGATTTAGTGCCTCACCGTCATCTATAAATTTGGCTTCTTTCAGTAGCACACTTATCAGCAGATTTTTAGATAATTGGTAGGAGTCGTTGGTTTTTCAGTGTAATATTTTGATGGCAAAATATTTCTTGTAAACCTGTAACACAGCGACAACTATGATCATTGTCATTTTACTGCAGTGATGGAACAAATACTGCTGGAAGACATGTAAGCATACATCTCCTATTGACTGACTTCAGATGCAGTGATGTGCACATATCAGGGAGCAAAACCCCTCTGTATTTTACATTAGCACTATCCAGAGGGCCAGAGATAACCCAATGAAGTCATTAGAATGACGTCTGTGGACCTTGGGTCAAACCCTGACTCCCTCATATTGAAGCTGGGCTGGGAAGACTGATATGCAGCTGCTGTTCTTTATGGTGTATGAGTATTAATTAGGGGGTCACAGTAAGGGAAGAATAGACCAGAATGTCAGTTTCCCCTCTGTGGTTTGCCCCACACTCATCCCTTGTGATTCCTGTGCATTCGTAAATTGTATAGTTTCAGTATATTGCTCACTTAATCATTCCCAACATTATTCAGATTGACAGGTTGAATTTTGTGCCATTTTACTGCATCACGGTCTGTAAATTGAATGTTTTATAGCTTGGTGAAAAGGAAGCAACATCTGCCACCAGCTTCCTAATTATATCAGCATCAAATACATAATAATGTTCTTAACACCACCCCTGCTTGCTGAGAAGCCATTTATAACCACAGCCTTCGCAAGCTGAAACAGTTCGTACAATATGACTTTTTCCTTCACGTTTCTGAAACACCGCTGATCTTTTCCCCCTTCTTCAGCTCCCCTCCTGGCAAAAAAGAAGAGGGATCAGGATTCTCTTTCTAAACTGTCTTTCTCTGCTAAGATGAATAGCTTAAAAATGCATGAAACTAGTGTGAAAAATGTGCGTACAAGAAACCAGCCTTGCGTATTATGGGTCCCAGTGGATGTACTGTTGTTATTCATTACTTGTACTATGATAGCGACTAGCGACCAGAGCTGAGGTCAGGCTCCATTGTGGTAGGTGCTGTTGAAACCCAGAGCGAGATGCAGTCCTTGACCTGAAGAGTTTACAATAGACAAAGTAGGAGAAAGGTAGTGTTGTTATCCTCACTTTTCAGATGGGGAGCTGAAGCATGGAGAGTTTGTGACTTGCTCAAGTCACTTAACAAAGGAAATCTGTGGGAGATCTCAGAAGTGGAGCCCAAATCTTCTGAATCACAGCCCAGTGTGTCAACCTCAAGGTCATGATTCTTCCATTCCTCTCTCTTAATCTGTTCCTTAACAGGCTGATGTGATTGCAGTTGTAGAGCCATTGGCCATTATCTTTGAAAACTCGTGGCAATCAGGGGAGGTCCTGAACAATTGGAAAAAGGCAAATATAGTGCCCATCTTTTAAAAAGGGAAGAAGGAGAACCTGGGGAACTACAGACCGGTCAGCCAGACCTCAGTCCCTGGAAAATCATGGAGCAGGTCCTCAAGGAATCCATTTTGAAGCACTTGGAGGAGAGGAAGGTGATCAGGAACAGTCAACATGGATTCACCAAGGGCAAGTCATGCCTGACCAACCTGATTGCCTTCTATGATGAGATAACTGGCTCTGTGAATATGGGGAAAGTGGTGGACGTGATATATCTTGACTTTAGCAAAGCTTTTGGTACGGTCTCCGACAGTATTCTTGCCAGCAAGTTAAAAGAGTATGGATTGGATGAATGGACTATAAATTGGATAGAAAGCTGGCGAGATTGTCTGGCACAATGGGTAGCGATCAACGGCTCGATGTCTAGTTGGCAGCTGGTATCAAGTGGAGTGCCCCAGGGGTCAGTCCTGGGGCTGGTTTTGTTCAACATCTTTATTAATGATCTAGATGATGGGATGAATTGTACCTTCAGCAAGTTCGCGGATGACACTAAGCTGGCGGGAGAGGTAGATACGCTGGAGGGTAGGGATAGGGTCCAGAGTGACCTAGCGAAATTGGAGGATTGGTTCAAAACAAATCTGATGAGGTTCAACAAGGACAAGTGCAGAGTGCTGCACTTAGGATGGAAGAATCCTGTGCACTGCTACAGGCTGGGGACCGACTAGCTAAGCAGCAGTTCTGCAGAAAAGGACCTGGGGATTACAGTGGATGAGAAGCTGGATATAAGTCAGCAGTGTGCCCCTGTTGCCAAGAAAGCTAATGGTATATTGGGCTGTATTAGTAGGAGCATTGCCAGCAGATCGAGGGAAGTGATTATTCCCCTCTATTCGGCACTGGTGAGGCCACATCTGGAGTATTGCATCCAGTTTTGGGGCCCCCACTACAGAAGGGATGTGGACAAATTGGAGAGAGTCCTGCAGAGAGCAACGAAAATGATCAGGGGGCTGGGACACGTGACTTACGAGGGAAGGCTGAGGGAACTGGGCTTATTTAGTCTGCAGAAGAGAAGAGTGAGTTGGGGATTTGATAGCAGCCTTAAACTACCTGAAGGGGGGTTCCAAAGAGGATGGAGCTCGGCTGTTCTCAGTGGTGGCAAATGACAGACAAGGAGCAATGGTCTCAAGTTGCAGTGGGGGAGGTCTAGGCTGGCTATTAGGAAAAACTATTTCACTAGGAGGGTGGTGAAGCACTGGAATGGGTTACCTAGAGAGGTGGTGGAATCTCCATCCTTGGAGGTTTTTTAGGCCTGGCATGACAAAGCCCTGGCTGAGATGATTTAGCTGGTGTTGGTCCTGCTTTGAGCAGGAGGTTGGACTAGATGACCTCCTGAGGTCTCTTCCAACCTTAATCGTCTGTGATTCTATTACTCCTTTATTTCACATTCAGTGTTTTGCCAGATGATGAATTTCTCCAGAACACACATGCTGCTACATCCTTCCACTTCCATTATCTGGATCTGTGTTAACACGGAGACCTGATCCTGCCTGAAACTGCCCCATTAGTCTACTGTGCCCAACCCTGATACTAAGAGTGTGTCTACACTACAGTGGCACACCTACGGGTGGTACAGATATGCTGCTCTAGTGCCATAGCATAAACGCTTCCTACAGCAGTGGAAGGGGTTTTCTGTCAATGTAGTTAATCCACCTTGCCACCAACCTAGCTGCATCTACAGTGTGGGGTAGTGGGCATTGCATAGGATGTGGAATTTTTTACAGCCCTGAGTGATGCAGCTAGGCCTAATCTAATTTTTAGGTATAGACCAGGCCTAAGTCTTGTCTGGCAGACACACTATATTGAAATGTCAGGTGCATTGCAAGTGACATGATGTATGCATTGAGAAGGAAACGTGACCACAGCATGGCACCAGTGCGAAGCTCTGGCCCCTGGAGAAGCAGGCTCTGAGGATGAGGAATTGGAAGGTGCATCTGAGGGCTGGAGTTTTGCTGAACTTTGTCGTTGACATCGAGACCTGAAGCAGAATTTTTCCATTTTTTCTCATCTCTTTAATAAGAAAGACCCTCCCAGTATGGATATCTACTGCATGCAACTATATGATATGATTCAGTAACTTTGGCCAAATCCTGAGGTCCTTTCTTAGCTTTCACTCAGTCCTTATGCAAACAAACCCCTGTTCCCATCGAGAATTTACCTGAGGAAAGACTGTGTTAGAAAATCTAAATGTACCACCATGTTCTAAAACCATTGCTTTTATTAAAAACAAAAATCTTTGGCTCCTACAGCTCACATTCGACATTATGACACCGAGACGTGCTTATTTTAACTTTGCCGAGACAATGCAGACGTATACCCTGACTCAGTGAGAGGTTAATGAATGCGCATTAGTGAAAAAGAGATCAGCTAGCATGTTGTTTTCACACCATGCCTTTCGTATTCCAAAAATACTTAACAAATTGATGGTGTCAGGGCAGTGACCACACGAGTAAACAGCGGCTGTTTTGCACTCTGCAGTGACTCATATCGGGCTTTGGACAAGAGCAGGTTTTATTGAGAGAAGCAATGGTAGCCAGAAATCTACTGCTGGAGAAGAGTAAGTTGTATTTTTATGGAAGGAGGCCGGCAAGATGGCAATACAAGTTACAGGAAGATACAGAAGGTTTGAACGCTGTCAAGATGAGCTAAAGCTTTAACAAATTTTAGCTTAGCTATCAGTGGGAAAAGCAAAAGCAGCTTTATTCCAACCCTCCTGTACAGGCAAACACCAGCCCCATGGAGTCCCCTGCTGCTTCTCAGCATAACAGGAGATTAGTAGTGTAGCAGATTTTTCTAATGTTTGTGATAGGCCCTCACAATAAACATCAAGCTAATCCCCAACAGTTGTGAGGCATTGGAGAGAAAGTGACTATAAATCCAGGATGAAAATACCGGTGTATTCATCTGATACCTACAGGCCCTCAATGCGGCTTCTCTGAAATAGGCACATTTATCCAGTCAAAACTAGCTTGGGCTGCTTTCTAAAGATGTTTCTCCTTCAGCCAGGGGTGAGGAGGAATCTTCATGCCAAGAAACGCATTTCTCAACGGCGTAAAAATCCTGGCACAGGTTTTCGCCTTGAAACTGTCTGCAGAGTTAAAAGTAATGGAAGTTTTTGACAACATATGCCTAAGTGACATGCCGGATTCGGCATCAAAATTGTTTCCACCTAGTTCGAACGTAGAATGCTAAACCAAAGTTCATGCA